TTTTTAATTAAAAAAAAACAAGCAGATAAAATTAGAAGTAGCATTAGAATAGAGAGTGCTAGAGTTAGAGGGTCAAATGAAGATGAAAGAGATGTGTTTTCAGCCGTTTCTTGAAAATATTAAGGACTCAGCTGCTTGGATTAAGCTGGGCAGGTCATTCCACCAGGAGGGAACAGTTAATGTAGAAGTCCATGAAAGTTTTATCATAGGTAGAATGCAAAATGTTTCAATACAAGCATTTCAGTCAAATGTAATTTATGCAATATTTCAAACCTTTATCCCACTTGGGAAAATCAACCCATGGCAACAGTTTAAAAGTAGCCCAATTCTGTGGAAAAAACGCGGACTTGGCAACCCTGCATCCAACAAGAGCTACCGGAGTCAGCTTTGACTGATCACAAGTCGAGAATAATGCATATAAAGTTTGATATTGGAAGAAATAATTAAACTCTTACCGAGTCAGTCAGGAAGTGTTTATGAACACGTCAAATACTTTTAGAAAGCAAGACGTAAGTAAATATGCACCTCAAAAAGACATACCTTCCCAGAGAACCCACTCAATAGTGAACCAATCAATGGTCTGCTCTCCAATTCCTTTTAGAAGAAGTGTGTTCTTGGCGGGGCATGGAGAGGAAATGAAAGATGCTTTTCCAATTCTAAATCCCACTTATTAATTCATACTCTTCAAGAGCTCATTGACAGGCTTTGGATAAAAAGAATCTTGTTGCGTCTTGTTTTCTCAATTACTGCCAGTTCTATCGCTATGGCTTGTACTAGCTTTTAACATCTAGAATTTAACTTCAAAACAGGCTAGTTTTTTTCCCCCAGAGTCGGTTGTAGTTATCCTTAGTAATAATTGACTTAAACCAGTTTAGACTGCAACGGCCGTTTCCGAATCCACCTGGTGTTTTTTTTTTTTTTGTGGCTGGAGGGATTGTCCCGTGATAATCCCACTGAAAGTGGGTCAATGAGTCAGGGCACAGAGCTCCCAGAAAGGGATGGACAAAACGGGGGGTGGTGACCACCCACACAAATACGCACAAGAAACCTGGGACAATATCTAGGCCTCAACCTGGTCAACATTTCTATTAAGTTTTTTAATGATCAAAAAATCATTCAATTACAGGAAAAAACTTCAAAGCTCTTCTATGAAGGAAACACTTCAAACTAAACACACACACACAAATTACCTCCTCGCTTTAACATGCAATTTATTCGATGCTGTGATCAGATAAAGTCAGCCTTAGCCCAAGCACATTATGCACAGAAATATATAATCAACCAACAGTAATTAAGCAGAGCTCTATTCGGGCTAATTACTTCACATTAGCATTTGTCACACAAGCTCGGGCCACTACTTTATCTGACTGAGGTGAGATCATGAAAAATTCATGATTTATTAATGTGACAACAGAAACAAATAAGAGAAACAGTGGGACAGAGCAGATAGGAGTGCCTCATATTAAAGAAATTAAACTACAGTGTTCACTACAGACCTTTCAAGATGTTAATGCAATTTCATTCTACTTGTACATAAATACAAGAATAGCACTGACTAGCACTGCTCCGATTAATCGGCTACCGATTGCTATCGGCCGAAAATCACTTTAGGAAGTTTGATCGGCGGTCCCTATAAAGGCTGATCTCAGAAACCGATCTCAAGGTGACGACGTGCCTGTCATGAAAGGTTTGGCATGACATGCAGCAGCAGCAGTCTCAATATCTGTCCGCGGGGTAAAATAATTATAACGCTGAAGGTGAGGTACAATTAATTCATATTTCTTCATTAAATAACTTACAAAATAATTTGAAAACGTTACGCGAGACGCAATTTCACAAACGGTGAGTGAATCAACGCGCACTCTCTCTCTTTATCTTAAAATGCGCAGATGGCTTCAAATATCTTCAAATCAATTAAATTGCATGCTAAATAAGTTACATTTAGCGTGTGCTATGATAACTGTGGATTTGAACTAAAAGAAAGATAATATAAATTGGCTCCAAGCCGACAAATCCATTAGTTGGAGCAGCTTAATTTTTTTTTTTTTTTGAGTAACTTAAAAATATATGTTTATGTTAAAAATTATTAAGTTCTTCTAACACAATGTAGTTTGTTGGCTGAACATAATTTCATTAGGTGTCATAACTCAAAAAAATTGATGCAAACGGTTGCATAAATTTTTTTTTTGTTGAGCTAACATTTTTTAGAGTGTACAGCTCAATAAATCAGGCTTGCGCTGTGTGTAAGCTAGGGATGCACCGAAATGAAAATTCTGAATGAAACACTGGGCCAAAGGCCGAACACGTTTTTTTTTGCATTTTTTCCCCCCTTTTGCCATTTTTTTTCACCATTGCATAAATTAAATAGCCAAAATGTGCTTTAAAAATATATACTTAACACTGAACATTTTTTAACATTCTAGCAGACATTATATCAATAAAACACAATTTAACTTAAAATTAGTAAGTTATTAAAATAATATTTTTTGGCCATTTTTGAGACCCCTTTCATGAATCAGGCATGCATTTTTACTGTACAAATAAATGCAGCCTTGTTGAGCACAAGAGACTTCTTTTAAAACATTAGAAAATATTACAGATCCTAGCCTGAACACTGTGTGACTGCTATAATAAATGTATTAATAGAGCTGTTGTAATTATTATTATTATCATTATTATTGTATTTTTTTAATTTTATTTGACAGAAAAACTATAAAAATTACAACAATAACATTTATTAATGTTGATGGAGTTCTTGCTTTTTCTCAGCTTTTATTTTGGCAGAAACCCGCAGGAAGACCCGAGTGCAGATTTATAAATGATTTTCATTACGAATTTGGGAATACGTTTGGGTGCACGTATCGCATTGTTACATGCCTTGTAAAAATGTTACTGAGCAACTGACAAGTAACACCATTTCAGCTCAGATTTTCCTTGCGCTTTGGACTTTGAACCCTGGCGCTGCGAGCTCGTGCAGCTGTTAGAATACATGCAATTCATGCGTGTATTAGAAAACACAACGTTCTGCAGTTTATTTAATTGTTTAAGGGCATTTCGCGATTTCAGTCATCATACAGTAACCAGCAACAACCACCCTTTCCACTTCTCATTGGAGACATGAGATGCAGTACAAAACAGTCTCTCACTGTCGGTGCTTATAATGATTTTTGCATCTTTTTCTGGCACTTTTAAATGCTTCCACACTGCCGACATGTTTGCTGCATTAGTGCGCGCCACTATTTGATCGCGTCACGTCATTGTTCAGTACAATTTATTCTGTCTTTTCGCTTATTTTGTTTGCCGAACATTCGGTGCATCCCTAGTGTAAGCTATTGTGCAGCAGTTGCCCCATTGTAAAAACAAAAATGCTGAAAAAAAACTATAATTTTTTAATATATATAAAAATTTTTTTTAAAGAGGATCTAAAAAAATGCCCCCTTCTATATCCATGCAGTGACTCATTTTCCAGGAAACAAGATTTATACAATTTAATAGGACCAAAGAAAAAAAGTTTTAGACTATGACAGTCTTATTCTAGACTGAATATCGTTTGTAGCAAGGGGATTTGAAATAATTTCCTTCATCTGTATCAGATCAATGTGACAACTTCCACAAATCACATTGAGGCAGATTGGATTTTCTCCACTCTTCCAGCTGGGGTAGTGACCAGCACTGTGCTTTGTGACACAGTACTGAATGAATCTATTGTTTAATAACACTTGGCACTGCGGAGTTATTCCAGCTTGGTAAATTCCAAACCGTGGCATGGTGGAATTTCAATCTCAGGGCCAAGTCTCAGCTACAAGTCTGGCAGGACCAATGTCAGACCACCGGTGCCTGAAGCCATTCAGATGCAAGTCATTTTAAAAGCTGGAAAATCATGCAGTCTAAAAGGTAAATCTGCAAAAAAGCTAAAATCCTTTTGGGTAATTATTATGGAAGCAGAAGCATAATCAAAGTAACCTCAGATTGCCAAAGAAACATTGTCAAATGGTGAACACCAACCAACCAAAAATGGAAAAAAAAAACAATTTTGCAGACTCTTGCCAGCCCGGTCATTTTTGCACTGCTCAGCTCGCTCATGTTCCAAACAGCTGTTCTGCCTTGCACACGCACACACTTACACCCCAATTAACAGCACCACATTCTGCTGAGAAGCACCTCAGCAGCATCATGGGAGGGAGAAACATGCCAAAAATATCTGCACACCGACCAACATTAGTGCCATGACTAACCAGGAGTGGGCTAGAGCGGGAGGAAGAGTGCCGACTACCTCTAGGTGCGGAGTCTGAAATCCCATTAATGAGCACTCAGGCTGTTTAGAAGTGATATGCGCCAGGTAATTACTCTCACAATGTACAGTGAAATTATCAGTAAATTCTAACGGATTGTGATTCAGGGTGCTTGACTATGCAATCCATTCATTTTTAGAAAACCAGCAACAGATCAGAGAAGTTAAAAGTGGATTATTGATTAACTTCTGTTTAATCAAATCAAGCTTGTATAAAGTGTGTGTGTATGTATAAAATATATATATATACACACGCATACATACATACATATAATATGAAGAGTTCAAATGCAAAAGCCTCGAAGTGCCGTCTGAAATTTTCATCTAAAATGATTTTTTTTTTTTTTAAATCGGCCTCCTATATTTATGTTCTTTTATTTCACTTTAATGGCATAGGAAATGACCTATACATTTCCATTAAGGTAAAATTACTGAACCTAAACATAGGAGCCTGATAAAATATATATATATATCTATAAAAAGGCCAAAGGTTGAAACCTAACTACCAAGCAGAAATGACTAACCCAAGATAAAGTATACTATGAACAGTGTGAAACAAGAACGTTAAAGCAGGGATAGCATATTTTTGTCATTTTGACAGCTGTAGTTAACACTGGTGTGGTATTTGTGGAAATTTTAGTTGCCATAGTAATTTCAGGTCAAGACTTCAACGCGATCACATGAGAATAACAGAAGTTTGAGAACTTACTTCTCATACTCGGCGTTGTCCTTGTCACATCGCGCGTCCTTGTGTTTCTGCCAGTCTTTGCCGTGTTTGCAGGTGGTGAGGAGAACTACATCCTCCGCGTTATGAACGTGATATAAGGCATTCCTCGCGTCCGAGCCGATGCCGGTCAAATAGCGTTTCCCCTTAAATACCAACATATACTTTCTAAAAGGTGGAATGGTGTTGTATTTCAAGTAGCCCCTGTCCCCACCGGTCCTTGGGTGCTCCTTGGAGAACAAGGGGATGGATACGTCAAAGTTGGGTCTGAAGTTCTCCGTGCTGATGCTCGCTTTGGCCAGCATGGCCTGACCGATGTCAAAGCCCAAGTCTTCCGTGTAGTCAGGCCATGTGCCCGAATACAAATTAAATATGAGATGGTTTCTACCATTGTTCCACAGAGGCAAGCTCTGCACCTTGGTTTTGAGATTATGCACGTACTGCGGCGATAACTGGTCTCGGTCAAGAGTGTCCAAGCTCAGGACGAACAGACACGCTTGACCAGGGTCAGAAGTGTAAAACCTAGAGCCCTCGACGGTGGATAAAATGTTCTGGTAACTTTCCGAGATCTTCTCGCCCTTCTGCTGCGGGTACACGTACACTTTGAATCCGTTCCTCTGACACAAGGAGAAATCGAAGCATGATTGCATGCGGCACCTTTTGCCCTTGTAAACGCTCGAGCTAACGTCTCTCTTCTGCCTAGGCGATATGTGCACATTATATTCCTCTGTGTCCGAGTGGTCCCACGGGCTTAAGTGTTGTAATGGATCCGAGAAGTGTGGCCACGGCTGTTCGGGACGATTATATCCATGCCGGCTCCTGGACCCGGTGGCCCCCGGACCCGGGACCCCTCCTCCAAAGTAAAAGAGCACAACTAGAAAGGCGCCAGTCAAGAGCGAGATCAGATATCGTTTTTTGGCCTGCATGTGTCCTGAAGGCCAGATCGCGGTGTTTGCAAATAAATCTCAAGCGGTTGGAAGTTTGTCTCAACACCACCTCCTCCAGCTATAGTACTGCTCCGCCATCTTCCAGCCTGCGAGGATTTACAACTCACGTCTTCCCTCTTCAGATTCCGTTCACCTAACAGCAAGTGATTGATCCAGCGCATGTGGGCGATTTTACATCGGGTTCCTCGCTCTCCCTCGTCTGTCTAGTAGCAGCATCTCACAATGCAGCCGTAACAGTAACCGTACCTGTTAAGATCATTAGAAACACAATCAGGTATGCTTACTCACTGACTTAGTTTCCCCCGGCGGAGTAATAAAAATGCAACGTTTGTTGACAGGACACGCGCTAGATAAATGCGTCGCACGGTCCGACTCGCACCGGAGAGTTGCGGCGGCACTGACTCATGGAGTTCGTCTTTGGAGAGCAGCGGGTCCCACTGGATAAAAAGTCGTTAATAATACAACGACCGAGGTTTCTCTCCGATGCTGTGGCGTTTCCCAACCACACGTCCAGACTAAACTAAAGCCCACCGCTCACAGAATAACTCCATTCACCTCCGAAACAATAATACAGACGGGGCAGTTCACGGGAACGACGGTAACCTTACGAATCCCTGCATTTCTCTTCTTCCTGCGCTCTCTGTGGATCTTCACACACGCAAGAAGTACATTTCCTCTTCATGGGGACACCGGCGTTTCCCTTTCGGCGAAAACACGATGACAGTGAGCGAGTTTCACAGAATGTTTCCTTAAATAAAATCAACGGAGTTCCTTGATCCGCGAGCCCAATCACCTATTGCTCAGTTGTTCCGATTGTTACTCTGTTACATTCCAATCCCGACACGACGCCAGTGTGCGTGACGTCCCATTATGGTGCATCGTGTGTTTTCATTGGGCAGAGGACCCGGATGGGGCGGGGCATCTACAGCACCCATTCATTCCCAGTGCCGAGCATCTCACTGAATGTGGCTGGACTTCTAACCACTCTAACCACTACGCATTAAAAATGATGTAGATGTTTTCTTTTAACTCAGCTTTCACTGACTAATTTTGCCCTATAATTAATACGTCAGAGCAAGATTCTAAAGCACAGGTAGACACATTTAAATTCCATTGAAACATTTATGTAAATTATATTGAAGGGCAGTGGGAGGGGTGGGACTATTTTAATTATATTTGTCTTTTGTTTGCCTCTTGCTATAGGCTAATAATAACAATAATACTTTTCATTTATTATTATTTTTGATATTTGTCTTAATTAGTCATTAATTACTGTTATGATGATGATGATGATGATGTTATTAGAGTAAAAAAAAAAAGATTTACTGGCATGGCAAAGTGTAGAGTAAATTAAATGAATGGAAACATAAAAAAATGGGCCAGGTAAATTAATAAATAAAATAGAATACAGACAGAATACAATGGAAAATACATTTGCATAAATTATATATTATGTATAAACAAAGTATTTCCTTGGGGAACAATGGATCAACCAGGTAATAAATGATCATAACATGCCTGTTGATATGATGATGTTGTACTTCCCACTGCCCCCAGCTGAATGAAATTGTTTTTTTAAGTTTGGATATCTTGGAATACCTTTTTTGATATTGTCTAAAGCCTTATTATAATGACTTAGTTATAATAATTTTAATAAGTTTAATAATTAATTATTAAAAATAACTATTGATGATCAATCACTCACAGCTAGCCCCTTTCTGTAACTATCCCCATTGCTGGACAAATCATTTATTTGTTGCTTATTTAACCAATAATTGAAACATGAGATCTGGATTACCCAAGGGATTTGCTTTTGTATCTAGCTGAAGATAAGAAGCCCAACTCTATAGCATTTCCTCTTCCCAAAGCCTCTCCCAGCTTGTGATAAAAAGCCCCAAATTTGGGCCGCTGTAAACAAATACCCGTGTCTGGATGGGGTAAGCTGCGAGTTCAGAGAGTTCTAAGCCCTGGGAAAGACAAAACACCCTTTGAGAGTCCTCTACCCTCCACTGTTCCAAGATCTGATAAAGCTGCTTGAGATGATGTAACACACTGCATTCCCTGAGTATTCTGGGTAGGGCTGGGCACAGTGATATGGAGACACTACACAGGTGAATAATGTAAGACCACAAAAGGAACACCTAATAAAAGGGATATGGAATGCAAATCCAAATTCATAACGAAGCCAACATCAACTGTACTGAAAGATTAATGCTTTTCTACGAGGACAAATATAAATCATGTGAGTGAGAAAAAAAAAATCAATAACTCAGATTGTTCTGGGAAATGTTTCTTTGGCCACAGGACATTGAGAACGCAGTGAACTGAAAACATAAAACCATTAAAAAAAAGTCCTAAATACACATTTTATTTCCACAATTAAAATGTCTGAAAATGTTTATTCATATAATTAAATATATTTTAATATAATAGAATATCCCATTGTCTTGTAAAACAGCATTGAAAAGCAGCACAAGTCTATGCGTTTCGGTTTGATGTCTCATGGGTGTCTTTCACATTGTTCACGCTTGTACACATATTGTATTTTTTATCTCACTAAAACCAAACAAACACAGCTGTTTAACTGCAATGCCATGGCCATGCTTCCAAGGCATGTTAATATGTTAAGATCATGTTCTCTCCCCACAGTGAGAGCTAGAGTGCTGAGGAGCCGACAACATTTAAAGAATCAAGCAGCGCTCCATGACTAACACAGACATAGCCATTGAGTAGGTGTGGATTCTGAAGTCCTGCTCCTCTTGTTTAACTCTCTCTGGTGCCCTCCAGGCAAATGAATCTTTAGGAGAAAAAATAAAAGCAAAAACAAAACTGGCACACAGCGTCTTAAAGCATGAGTGTGAGTGTGGGATGGCTAGATACCTCCTCGTTGCTTTATTTATTTAAAATGACCTTTCCGTACTGGAACGGAGTTCGCTCTTGGCAATGTTAAGGTTTAAATGTTGGAAGATGTAGGAGGGGAAACCAAGCCCAAGAAGAAAAGGACTCGAGTGACTCCAGGGAGAGCAAGGCAGTAAATGAAGCAGAACAGGTTAGATTTGTTGATAGGTTTTTGTCCTTATTAAAAAAAGACAAGTTCTTGACTTCTGAACTCCTTCATTTGTATTCTGTGGCCATTTATTCCTTACAGATTTGGACTGGAGAATTGGGTTAGATTGCAGTGGTGAAATGAGAGTTTCTTTGCTAAACTCCAGCAGAGGATCCTTCACATTTGGCTGTTTTCAACTCAGATGATTAAAAGAGAGGGAAAGAACAAAAGTAGAGGAAGAACGATGCCTAGGAGAACAGCGGTACTTCAATTTTCAAAATGATTCATGAAAAATTACCATTAATTAAACAAAATCATAAACAAAACTGCTTTTTTTTGTATTGTGTTTAATTATAATGCATGCTGATTCATGGCCTCATAATAATTTAAATTATTATTTAGGTGAAGTGTGTAATTTGTGCACCACTATAGTGATCATAAATAAAACGATACAATTAAAGATTGTTTTCACATTGTTTTTCTCAAGCATCTGCCCATTCTGCCTGTCGGGCAAACCGATAGTCCTGCACCAAACTTAAGTTATTGTCTGAATCAATGTTGCTATATGAAAAATCAGTCATTATTTATTCACTTTGGTGTTGTTCTAATCTCGGACCACAGAAGGAGAAAAAATGGCCTGTCTAGTCCATATAATGGCAGAGAACAGTGACCAGCTTCAAGCATCACTGAAATATCCCATACGACTTCCACGTTTGCTGAGGGAATAATACAAATCTAAAATATATTTATTATTTAGAAAAAATCTTGACTTTGGCAGTTGGTTTTCTGTGCACAACTGCACAAGATTGTATTAGTGCAGCATTTTGAGAAATCCAAATGCTACACAAAACACATACAGTACCAAAAAAGTACTTTCTTCTCTGATGTAAATAACTCTGGACTGGACAGAAGGGCGGGCAAATAATGACTGAATTTTAATTTTTGGGTGAACTATTCCTTTAAGATGCTCAAATAGGGCAATATTTTCATAGCACCAGAGCCACAATATTCAGGGAAACCAACCCACTAATGGTTTATTTACAGTTGTCTCTGCATATTATGCAGGGTCTGGTGGAAATATTTTAACATCAACAAAAATTACAGACTTCACCTTTAAGTGAACTTCAAAACCTCTAAAAGATGATTACAATTGTGAAAGACTTGGTGAGCAGTCACAGAACCAAAAATATAAACTTTTCCTCATGCATTCCCATCAAGTTGAACTTAAAATGCTGAAAATAAAGTTCATGTCATGTTAAACCTGTGATTTTGCCGGGGCAAAGAATGAAACAAGTGAATGATTTTAGCACACTGTGCCCACACACACATACACTTACACTGTCTTTGATGACCTGCAGTGAGAATGTTAATGCATTACCTCCTGAGGCTGGGATCAGAGCAGGCTTTCCTCTCCCCTTTTGAACTTTCTTTTGTTTTCTCTCCCAGACATCAGGGTTCCCAGCCACAGAACAGGAAAAGTTATCTGGATAGATGCCCTGTCAGTGAGGGATCCTCAGATCTTCCTGTGCATGCATTCACACACGCACACGCACACACACACACTTTAGGCTAAGGCTGGATGATATGGCCAAAATTTATATCACAATATATTTCTTAATTTCGGTCGATATGATATAATTCCGATATCGATATGAACACTATTAAAAAAGCCTCATAAAAACGGCCAAGAACGGCCACAACAGATGTCTGTACTTACAAACTTATGAAAAATTAATTTGCCAACTCTATGAAACCTACTCCTATAAAACTATATAATATTTTAGGAAAAAAATGGCGCAAATAAATAAATGTTCACATTTTATTGGTATTTAGCCTTCATACAAACAAGAAATGTGAAATCACTGTCAAATAAATCTCAGACTCTCCTTATTAATATTAATATTTTTTACTTCAAACTATAGGCTAACATACCAGTCAAACATTTTTGAACAGTACGATTTTTTATGTTTTTTAAAGAGTTCTCTTCTGGTGACCAAGCCTGCATTTATTTGATCCAAAATACAGCAAAAAACATACAAAAAAGTAACATTTTGAAATATTTTTACTATTTAAAATAACTGTTTTCTATTTGAAAATAATTTATTCCTGTGATTTCAAAGCAGAGCTTTAGCAGCATTTCTCCAGTCACATGATCCGAGAGCGGCAGAACTAACGGTTTCTCCAGTAACGGCTGTAAACAAAGCAGCTCCGCTTATGAGCGCTACTTTATCAGATACAAATGCCATCTAAACTATTCTGAAGACAGTCGGTTGTCTTCAGAGATACGTTCATATAAAACACCTGCGCCGTGTTATGATTTTGAAACGTGCAGTGCTCATGTTTATTCAACGAAGTCATACGCCACAAATAAATCAATGCATGGGAAACACTGGTAATGTATATCGAAATATCGGAAATGTGTTTAAAAATCATATCACCGTTATTGAAAAAAATTATATCGCGATACATATTTATATTGAATTATTGTCCAGCCCTACTTTAGGCTCACCCCTTCCAGCACATTACCTAGTTCTGTCAGGATAAATATGTGAGAGTTTATATTTGGGAATTTTTAGATTCCTTACGGTTTAGTGTACACAGTTCAAAATTGCGATGATTGGAATGTCATAAAATCTTCCATCTCAGAGCGAGTCAAGAAAACAGAGTGTTTAGGGTGGATACAGAGCACAACAAAGCCATCAGTTTATTCATATTTATTCTGTTAGCAACATGAGGGGAATTCTTCCTCTTAAAGAGACACCCACAGAATTATTTGTATGTGTATTTTTTAAGGTTGATGTTGTAGAGCAGTTTTATCTTTCTCTGATCTGTCATTCTACACTACAATTCCAACAACTGGGAATCTTGATTTCTGTGATACTGATTTAAATTCAACTGTACTTCAAATATAGGTGTCTTGAATAC